TGTGTTGTTTAATTGTTATGTGACAAGGATCTGGCTAGTTCAATACTTGTGGTTTTACACCTTAGTTCTTTTTTCCTAAAACTGAAGAACTTGTCTACAAATTGACACCGTATCTGAATCGGCAGTATGGTTAACACTTACCTCGGTGTTACGTATTTTAGGTGGGTCTCTGTGTCGGCCTTTTGTATCCGCCTTGTCGATTACCTGAATGCTTTCGTACGCTGCTAAATACGAATGAATGATTTAGCTAATTGTGGCTGTCATCCATTTTTAAAACTTCTATAGTTGCATTGTATAATCTGTTAAGCCAAAATTTTTATATTACCAACTCTTTCGAAAACCAGTCATACTTTTCGTAAAATCTGTTCTGCTATCTTAGTAAACTGGTAATATTAAACTCAGTGCCTTCTCATTTCCACATCTCCCATGAGAAAACCCTTTTAAAAATGGCCAGGAGAAGATAATGAATACGGTCGGTTGGTGCTTTATATTAACTGCAAGTGGAATTGTACTTTAATGGTATCAGTAATTTTGGTTATGCGAATTGGACAGGCATAAATGTATGTAGAAAAAAATACCAAATAAACAATAATCTCAATTTATGTCAACTTAGTTATCGGAAGACCAATCTGTCCGGTAGGACTCCTGCTTAAATATCCTACTAGGTGTGCATTAAATTAAACTGTTTTGGGGCAATAATGTTTTAAAAGTATTTACATGATTCGTCAGATTCATATTGGTTATTGCCGACCCCACTTATGCTAGACCTAATGATCCTATGAATTTTGAACTTAGGTTCAGTAATAATCAACCATTCGGATATATGATTTGATTTCCAATTAAATTCCGATAACTTTGCTCGGTGTGGTTTAAAGTTAACTTTAACCATTTAGTTATGAAAGATGAGCCGATGCACGGTCTAGTCAGTTCCCAGACTAATTGTGCCGATTCAGGGACTTCTATACAGCATTTCTACCCCTCTGTCAATTGGCCGCCCAATAGTCAACATCCCTCAGCAATCTACGACATCACTGATGCCTCTTCATCCGCCTCGACATCGCCGTGGTTACAGTCGCACCACCAAATGGACGACCGTTTTCAGCACCCAACCTCCCGACCCCATAGTTGTGGACATGCAAACCAATATTCCACACCCCCCTATAACCCCAATGGGAAGTTCGACTTCAGGTATCCCGACCCTAGTTTTCCTTATCTAATTGCTCCTAGAACGTCTCCGTCGGGGATTTCCAGTACGATGGATACTGGTCTTTCAATTAAGCCTGTTGCACCCTATGAATTACCTCTAAAACAGACCATTATTCAATCAGAACACGACGGCTACCCTAGTCGGGTGGAGAGCCCTACCGAGGCTCCAACATATGGATACTCGCCATCTTGAAGACAACTTGACACTTTATACTCCCCTTTTAAACCTTTTAGTAGGGTTAAATTAAACCAGTTTTTTGTCAATTGTTATTTTGACGAATTTTGTTTTGGTATTCATGACTTGATTAAGGTGATCTGAAACGGCGTTTTAAACATGTCCAAATGCAATGGGAATCACACAAATTGTTTCTTCGGCAAACTAATTTATCCATTCTGACATAAATTCCCCTTTAAGATTATGATGAGACTAGTTTTATATGCATGAAAAAATAATTTTTGATCAGATATATAAACAGGTGAGACAATTATGACCAAATTAAAAAGTTCCACTTTGATCTGATTGTTTTCACACCTTTACAAAAAAATTCGCCAACATTTCCGATAAAATCAAAACAGACAGCAATCGCAGAAATGCGATAAAATATCATTTCAATTGGCGAATTTCCCTGATTAGAAACACTGTTAGTTTCATTCCTAGCTTCACATATCAGCGAAACTTCAATTATTTCACTAAAGCCTCCGAGAAGACACTTCCCAGAAGGTAACTAAATTAAATTGGCCCAGCGAAAAAAATAGGCCTTACAAACCTGCTCGAGTATTCGTCAAACAGATTTTACCAGAGAATTCTGCTTCAAACAATCGACGGTTTAATTTGCCTAGGCGCTTATCTGATTACCTGGGGCAAAAACCGTCTTGGTCACATTATCCAGATTTACCTTCTGTGCACTTGTCGGTGATGGAAAGGGTGAGACCCAGAAGCAGCACACTGATAGGATGACGCATTGCCAAATGACTTTTTTTAAATGCAACGAATATGCAAAAACTTTTGGTACTTGATGTCAAATATAATTACGCAGTAAAATTGCCTAAAGTCGAGATAAAGTCTTGTTAACTAAATACCTTTTATCCATGCATATCTTAACTCGAACCATTTTAAAGGCAGTAGTTCTACCTGTGGATTTATTCTGCGTCTGACCCGCCAGTCCTTCAAGTAAGCTGCACCGAAACTCTAAAGTTGCTTTCTTCTCGCAAATTTGGTCGCAACTTCTAAAGGAATTCGTGCTTTTGAGCACTAATAAAAGTAGACGGGCCAAAATCAGGCTTAACATTAGGGTGCTAGGGATGTTTCAGCGGTCAGTCATATAAATAAGAACAAACAATTTCCCGATCAATAGGACTTTGTTGATCAAAGTTCATCCGAAATTTGTCATCAGCAATCACAATCATCTTTTATAATTGTTTTATTTGTAACAGACTTTTCTCAAACAATGGGGAAGCCATCCATGAGTACAATCATATTCTTGAATCAAATACTGATTATAAAAATTTGTTCCAGAGCTTACTTTTGATTTCCTCCATGAGCTAAAGCACAGGAGTAACTATGGCAGCAATATGAAACAGGTGTCCGTATGTAGGACAGATTAATTAAACCGTAGCAAACTGGGTTAAATAATTGTTGACCCTGTTTTATAACTTTAGGGCAAAAGTACGTCCCAAAACTAAACTGATCGTGTAGAAAAACTCCCAACCGCACTTTCAGCTGTTCGGCACTGGGAATCGAAGTGATGTGTTTTCAAATTTACCCTCACAATAGCCCTACTTTCATCACAAAAACTAGATCAACTTGGAAAATTAGAGATAATAAGTCAATGGTGACTATCACATTCCTCATCTGTCCGTATTTTTTTAAAAGCAAAGAAAAAAACAGATAAGCCCGTGCTTATGAAAATACATCACCCATGAAATTCGGCTGTCATCTAGTGGTATCTATAATAAACGAAAGAAATGTGAAATTTTAAGGACCTTTCATCACTTTGGAGTCACCAATTGTTGGGGCCCCAGAGCGTGGTATCGAACAACGCCGAGGCCATTGAATTAACTCTGGCCCGATTACGCTTCCGTGATATCCGCGATGAAGCAAAGACGGGAGATGACGTGGACCACGTTGGTGTCGTTGTCTCGTGGGTTGCATTTGCGCGTGTTTACATATACCTCAGATGTGTGAGTCATTTTGCGCTAACATTGAGACCTAAATTTGAGGATAAGTTAGGACAAATGCTCGTGTTAATGAGGGTGAAGTTGAGGATCCGCGCGGCTTGCGACATGCTGCGAAATGGAGACCCTGTGTCGGAAGATGGAGTGATCGGATTAGGTAAAGTAAATCAACGCGGCTCACAACAAATCCATGCAACAGTCAAGGTGAATGGTTAACTATTGCTGTGCAACTAAATGCGGCATTGTAGCGTTAAGGCTTCGTCTCATTAACGCATAAATATATACATAATTTATTGTTGATTTTTATTTGCCAAAGGCCATGCTATACCTTGGAGTACACTTTCAGACAAGTTAAATGTAGGAGAGTCAGGCAAATTGGCTTAAGAATAGAGCTGAACATTTGTTAAACCGACCATTTTGCTGTTTGATTCCAGAATGTTCCTAAAGGGTAAGATCGAAGACTTCAAAGGAGCTTGATGCGTTCGTTCCCTTTCTTCGTGGTGAATGATTTTGACGGATAATCACCTGTCATTGACCGATGTGTCTATCCGTCATTGAAATAAGATTTAATTATAAATTTCTAAGATGTTAGCTGAAAAACACCCAGTTTACAATTAAATGCATAAGTAATGGTGAAAAATAGGGCTAGCATGGATTTGGAACACGTGAACTAAAATATCAAGCCTAACCTGTCTTACTTTGCTACACCACGTTAATTTACACTTTTAAATGGAAGTAATTACTTATTGGAATTTCGCCTTTATATGTTAAAGTGATTGGTTTTCATCCGTTGAAATGGCATCTTACGGTATCGCATAGGTCCAAAAGTGCCTTGTTCACCTTTGTTAATTGTCATGAACCTCATCTTGACTCAATATTTACGCAAATGGTTAACACATTCGTGTATATTCCGAAATAACGAGAGGCCCATTCTCTTTAATATATGAGAATGGATCTGAAGGTTGACTTAAGGAAATAAATGGTCCCGCCATGAACGATTTGATTGGAGAACCCACTCCATCTTTTATGTGGTGTGCATATTATACAATTTCACTTTAAGACAGTTAATCATGTTTCAAAGCTGCCGTGTGTTGGAATCAAGCATCAGATCCCTCTGATGATAGTAGCCATAGTGTATAAAATAACTGTAAAAAGAATATAATTGATATCCGCACTAATTATTGTTCAATTCCATTTATGCAATAAACTTTTGCCTTTTGTCCGACGCAGTGCTGCGGGGTGTGAGCAAGGTCGTCCACAATCGAAATGCAGAGAATAAATTATGCACCGTGTACTGTATCCTAGAAAACTCCGTACACCTCTATTCGACGAGCATTAGACATCTTTGAGGTGGATTCTGTTGGATTAATAAGAACTTGATGAACAGCTATTTTTGTTTATATAACCTTGCTTTGATTTCATATTTAATAAATCCACAGCGATAAATAACAATTTATTTATCAGCGAAGTTAAAAATTCTGCATGGAACACTTTCACATCATTTTGGACCTTTACAAGTCAAGCAAGACTTAGATTGAGACATATGTGAATACCAATGTATAGTAATTGATGAGTTTATATCTCGCTGAAAAATAAATTAAGACTATATCAATGTAATCGCTGGTAACGGTTGATATAGTTTATAGAAAATTCTCATAATTAGACATCAATAAATAATTTATCAAGATGATTCGACACTGGGATCACTCCCAAACGAATGTGATTTTTCTAGTGACCCAAATGCTAGGAAAAAGTAAACGAGGTACAAAAATTCGATTTGCAGCCTCTGTAAATCAACAATTTTTCTAGTGTCTTGAAGTTAGAAATAGCTATTAGAATAATACTTTGGGACGATATATAGTGCTGGCCGATATTTGAGAAACTGTCCTTCCTAACAACGATGGAAAATGTCGTTTTCCCGCAAGAAATTCATTGCCTGGGAAAGCAATGTCCATACAAAAAGTTGACATACGAATTTTACATATCGGCAAAATATTAACTGAAATTGCAACCTACACATATTACCTAAATCTAAATTTTGAAAAAAAAATACAAGAAAAAGGCCAGGAATGAGCAAAAGCAATACATTAACAAGCAGTTATACGGAATAGAAAGTGACATAAGACTCTAACTTCTACTTTTAATAAAATTTGGATAAAATTTAACATTTATAAATGACCTGGTAGTTGTCCTACACGAGCCTCAATAATTCGACTGCTTCGATATCAGTTAGAGGTCTCTATATGTACCCCAGAACAAAAACTCAAGATATAAGCCATCCAAGAATTATCAGTTCACCTATAGTAAGCATTGTTGTAAGTTTCGGATAAGCCAAGTATGGAGGGTGTAAAGACAGTGTCATTCTTTGGAACAATGAGGTTCAAGTACTAATCAATAATTAGAAAGAGTATATTATTGGTGCAGTATTTATAGTCATACATTTTATTAGACTTAAAAGGCCAAAAAGCATTATTCCACTTTCGCGTCGTCAAAAATTTCACTAACATTGATAGTTTCAAAAAAATTGATGTTAATGTGCGCATCTCAAGCACTTATGACATGTGCCAAGATAAGTGAAGTTAAAAACTGTTTTTAAATATCATAGGTAAAGCGCATTTTTCTCTCGAATTTTATTATTAGGGCTTTGTCACCTCGTATGTTAAAAATTGCGTCTACCGTCTGCCACGTTAACTACATTTTATTTTAAACAGGCATACTACTTTCATATCACGTAAAGTTTTTTTGTGCAACATTCTTAACACCATGGCTGCTGCCTGTCGTCCCTAAAATGAGATTTCAAATAAAACTTGCAGACTTTAAATTACGGCCATTAAGTAATTGCCTGAAATTAAAATGGCGAACATGGTAATATTTTTACAGATCCTGGCAACGTAAATAATTGTAACAGCCGTTATAATCCTTTTTGCATAATTTCGTACTTTTTAAGCAACTTTTTGATATTGAAAACCTTGGCTTACAAACGAAGTTATCAGCAGACTGATTGGCTAGTGATTCCGCCTCCCACGGTCCGGCTTTTCCGTCCTCATCATGGCCGCGAGCAAAGTGTGCGTTTTTTATTATGGTTTCCTCGCTAGCTGGTGTTGTCTAAATGATTTTTTTGAACAAAATCAGTTACTGATCCTTGTCCAACACTTGTATTGAATGCGATCCTCTTTAGTTTCCTCAAAATTTCACAATGATCTCGCTAAAATCAACATTTAAGTCGACTCCACGTGTATCAGCCATAATAACTTGTAACTGCTTACCAACATGGGCAAAATGAGACTGTTTTCTATCTCTCGCCAGGATTTGCCCGTTATCGAGGTGATTGCTGTGATAGTAAGATATTGGAGTGCCACTATGAATTTAAAATCCGGTTCAAAAATGAATCTATCATTGGAAGCTACCTAGAGGCGCCACTTAATTATTGGCTAAATATTTCCTGTATGATGAGGTTTCCGCCATTCCCATTAAAAGCTTAGTACTTACTTCGACGTTTTTAACTGAATTCTCTTTGAGAGATTTAACTGTATGATCTGAACGCTAAGTGAAGTATATTCTGTCAACGTTTGTTAATAAAATGACTGAATGCCTTTATATTTTTGGTTGTGGAAATTATTTTTTTTTCAAATAGTAGAGACTGGCTTGTAATACCATGAAGGCTGAGCTGAAATGAACAATCTTTCTTCCTCTCATCATTCTTTCGCAAGCTTTCAATGTTTGCCATCTTATGAGCATTCATGGATCGCTTTCCAAGATGATTAAATTATTTAAAAATTTTCTCTGTATATATTCATGGCTTAGTGTTAATGTTATGTCGTATCACGCATGTGTACCTTTTCTGAGATATTGTAGCTTGCATTTGTTTCATTACCGCTCCGTTAATTTCAAACACTTAAATGTCTGCTAAAATGTTGGCAGGAACTCGTTACAAAATGAATCTATCGTGTCATTCATTCTTAAATGAATCCTAATCAATTATAGATTTAATAAGAACGATTTGGTCCTTAGTATCAGCATTCAACTATGGCCCTATGTGTTTTCGCAGCCCTTGTACATTTTTGTCTAAATTTGGAATTTGAGTGCTTTCAGCTCAATATTTGTATAAGGAACTTCTCGTTTGTGGTATTTTTGTAGTGAAATTCTGTCTCTTAGCGCTTGCTGTACTCTATTGTATGTTCCGATTTTCCCACAGCGTCGGTGCATATAATCAAGACCTGTCAGTGGTTTTTGCGCCCACTTGGTATTTTTTATGTACCGTACTTTTGTTTTCATACAGACTGGAAAACATTTTATTCAGATTTCAAGTTTCGTTACGTAATTGTAACAGTAGTTTCAAGTAACTTTACTTTTTTCTAGTTTGACGCTCCCAAAAAATGCTCCTTTACCAGAGCAGCAGGTTATTTATGATCGGGAAAATAATACCAAGCTGGTTATTTCTTACGAGTCTGATGACGATGGTGAAATCTACATGGAAACGCGAGAATATACCATCGAAAAGGTTCGAGTGTCTTCTGCTGTGGCAAAGCGTAAGGCCTGGAAGAAATTTGGTGAATCTGCTGAGGATCCGCCAGGGCCTAACCCCGCCAACACCTACCCCGGTGAAATAGTCAACATTCAATACCTCGAGAACAAACTAGTATGGTTGCTTTGTTGCTGTTTATTATGATTTTCGTCTGCGAGTATGTTTCCCATTGTTGGGTTAAATGAGTTAGGAAAAAATGTCGTTTAGTTACAAGCCTAGATCGATTATTAAACACGAATTTAAGTGGAAAAGTATAGTGTGAGGTGCACGCTTAATTGAAAACATTTCACATTCAACTCGGTTGTATCTCTTTATATGATTAACAGAACATGGTCAATGGTTTATTATATGCTCTAAAACCTTTCGAAGTCCCAGAGGTAAAGGCGCATAATTAGTACGTGTTAGTTCCTGTTTGTTTCAGGCTCATCTCTCAAAAAAAAAATAGGGGAACATGTGGACTGGCAATGGTTATGGTACATAAATTTTTAGACCATTTTGAAGAGAAGTAAACAAAGAACGTGTCGGTTTGTGGGTTCATATTCGTTCAATTACTAAATTTTCGCTTTTAGTTGTTTTCTGTGATGGAGAGCAGCGATTGCATCAGACGAGAGACTGTAACATGTTACCCATTACTTTCAAACGGCGTACACCGTGAAGATTATAGAAACGAGTATTATGTAAAAAATTGTCCTGCGTAACACTTTGCTCATTAACTGGTGAATGTTAATTTGGATGCGCATCTATCATCTTCAAATATCGGAATTTCCGGTCATCTGACGCGTCAAAACTTTTTTCTTACTTAATACATGTTGTTATTGACGATACCGTATTAAATTAGCTTGGTACTTTAATAGTTGTTCCTGTTTAGCATTGCACACCCCCTTGGTTGGGTGTAGTCGTCGGTCCCGAGAAGCAATGTGCTATCGATTCTTCCATGTGGCAATGTCGAATCACTTACCATCAGCAAAAAATGTAGTGAAGTACAGAAAACGCCAAAATACATTACGATAAGGAGGGTAATCTAGGTCTTTAAATTGCTGTTTTTCCGTGCTCTTTTTTCGTCCAGGCGGAGACCGCGGGGAAGGCGTTGGCTGAGGAGGAGGCAGCAAAGTTGACCGCCAAACCAAAACAAGCGGTCACCTGTCGTACCTGCAAAGGCGCGCACTTTTCCCACCAGTGTCCCTTCCGCAGTGAAATGGAAGCTCTACGCTCCTTCATTGACTCCACCAGTGGTCCCGGTGGTCAGGGTCCTGATCCTGTGACAAAGGCAGGTTTCTATCATCTCATATGCCTTTTCATTTTCGCCCATGGCAGTTTTGCCATTTCACCCGGTTGATTGTATTTGCTTAGGTATAGTGGTGTCTGGTAAATGAGGTTAAATGGCTCCCCCGCCGAGCTATGCTGCGTCTCCCGTTGAGCAGCGTCAACTTCTCTGGTTAATGGAGGCCATCGCCAATTGTTTTCTCAGTTAAGAGGGCTACTTGAACGTTGGGTTTCATTTTGTTGCGTCCATTTTTTTAAGGCGGCCGCACAAGAAATCGCTCCAGAACTCAATTCCGGACGCTACATTCCTCCAACGTTACGTGCTGCTGCCGCTGCGGCTAATGGCGTTGTGCCCGGGGCGACGACTGAGCGCCGGCGTCTTGAGGGTTACTCCATTCGCGTTGCAAATCTCCCGGAGAATACGCGCGAAACCGATCTTCGAGAGATCTTTGGGTGTTTCGGTGAAATAATCCGCATCTACCCCGCTAGGGATAGGCGCACTCAACTCAACAGAGTACGCGGTTTTTTGCACTTCGTTCCACGTTTAACAATTGAAGGTTTTTTTCTGTAGGGAGCGGGACGCCTTCGTTTCGGGTCATTATCTTCGATGGTGTTAATAGCAAACTCGTGTTAACCCTCAGCCAAAATACCGTCTTTACTATCAACCTCAGTGATGTAGACAACTCAACTTATAAGTCCAGGATTTCAGCTCAGGAGTTTTTTAATGCTCTCTTCCTATGAATGTAGAATTGGGTTTGAATCTCCTTCACACGGATTATTGGGTTACTTTAACCCTTGCACACGCCTCGTGGGTGTCGTTCTTTCTGATGAGTTTTGTTAATTTCGACATGAGACTTATTTTATGCTCTCATTCTTCTAAGTAGCCCTTAAAGACCCACCCAGTTAAAGCTTTGCTGTTGGCGGGAGCGATTAGGGCTGAAATCAACTTTGGCTGGTTCTCAGAGTCCTGTCTAGTTGAGCGATACTTCATGTGGATGCCGATACCCAGCTACATGCTGATTCCACCTTTGCAATCACTCAAAACTGAAGCGTTTGGTTTCACTCATTTCGAGCGACTTGTTGCTAGACCTTGTGGTATCTTTTACTAGAGTACGTAAACCATGGTATTTAACAACATCTGGTACCGTGGATAAACGTACCCACTTTTTGAACTTACGTGGATATGGTCTGTATTCATTGACTACATTAGTACTATCACCGTTGCAATTAAAATTAACATTTGTCGAAATTTCCACAACAATAAGGAATTTGCATTCTGTATCTGTACAATCTCAGGTTCGAGCAAGCTATGTAATCGAATGTTGCAACATTATTTAGCAGTTATTCCTATGTACACCACTGTCTACTTGTAGTTGCCCTAGGTACTTAAACTCTGCCACCAAACAGTGCTGTTGTTAGTTTTTACTGTTCAATTGTCTCCTATTTAAGGGCATTTAATGTCCAACGGCTAGCCATGACACAATCAACCTACAAGCAAGTATATCTCCTTGCTATCCCACTATCCATCTCGTTTAGCGAACTTTTGCTGTCAAATAAAGGGCCGGATTACCTAATTGTGTAAAACTTGGGTGACTGGATACATTTAAAATGGAGAGCGCATTTATTTAGACTTTCTTCTACCATTGCTTGTTCTCAACTGTGTCCAATCTGGTGAATGACGTATTGTTGTTCCAAACTGCCCAAAGTAGCAGAACGCCTGCTATTCACATTATTTCGCACAAACTGAATGAGCTTGAGCTGCAGCAACTGAAAGTGCTGCGTCTATTCATCAACCGCGTCAGTTCGAAATCGTTGCGGTAGAATCTCCCTAATTGTGCTGTGAGCTATCCAATTGACTACATTTCTAAAACTTTGAGTAGACTCATGATGTGCCTTGTATTCGCATCTTTGGTAAGGCGCTTGTTGTGACTTGGAACTTGTGATCGAGTTATCCAAAGTGCATAACCGTAACCATTGCATTTTACTGGACAACATGGCACTGAATCAGGACGGTTTTCGGTAGAATGCTCAGCTATTCCTCTTTGAGTGAATACTTCCAATCCACCGCTATGCATTATGAAAGCCTGGAATGTATGTTTGTGTGTTCTAGGGTTTTGCCTACATCTCATACGCGAAATGTGAGGACGCGGCTACAGCCATGTACTTTGCCAGAGGCATGCACTACGGTCACATGATCCTGAATGTCGACTGGGCACAGTAAGTATCGCTTTTTCCAACGATTATCTTTGCATGTAACGAATTGGCCGAATTCCATTGGAATTCAGATGAAACATAAAGAGGGTTCCACTTCGGTTGTCTGTTGAACGACCCTCACCTGTATATTTGTGTGTCCATTAGTATTCAGGTGCTTATCCACTATCGAACCTTTAATTTGACCATTGTTTCACATCAGAAAACGCAAAGCATGCACCGGAATTAACGCATTAACCCATTTTCCTATTCGTATACTGTGATGGGCTACGCAAACCTGTAATTTGGTCATTAATGTCCGATTTGTTTTTTAGGCCGTTGAACAATTGAGGAAACTTCGGGAGCTCATTATCAGATCCTTAACGCTAAATGTTTACACAAGCCTGCTGCCTGTTTTTTATGTCCACACTGTCAACAGTTTCTTGGTTGGTCCGTTATTAAAAATGATCTATGGACCCGGTTGACGTTGTTTTTCATACATCAACTTGTTCCTCACGCGTCTTACATATCTAGAACCATTTATCGAAATTTCCATAGCCCACTGCGTTAGCTCAACCACGCTCAAAGTTGTGTGCATTCTCTCATTGGTTGGTCTGCCTTACGTTGCTGACGCCGGTAACAATAACATGCCTGCGGATCCACTGGTAGTGCCCACGTGTCCGAGCTCACGGCTACGTGGGAGTCGTTTTCCGTAAATCGCCGCGGGTGCTCGCAAAGCAGCCGGGTCAGTGGGTCGTCGTCAGGGCTTCCACGGCTTCGAAGAAGCAAAATAACTTTTACCAGGTAGTAGTTGTAAAGCATATATTTAATGCAAGGGAAAACTAAAATATAGGGGAGAGGAAATAAAACAGGGTAATTCGAACGTAGGTTGCTGGGTTTGACTGGCGTCGGGTCGCGTCCATGCTGTGCGTTTGGGTAAAATAACGGTCTCTAGAGCGGTGGGTCTGTTTATACACAAGTGATAATGCTAAATGTGCGTGGTGGCTTTTTATTCCACAACGCAGCCACTCAGCATTTGGGGGGGAGCGAATTTTCCGTTTCGACGGGGTGGGGGTTGTCGGAAATAAGGCACACTTGAATAGGCTCTGTTGGGAGGATTGTTTCAGAGTTAGGGTGGTGGCATTTGAAGGGACGAATCAGTCATTGGTACCGATGACTGACGCGTCGGATTGAAATAAGGTTGAGGGCACAATGCACTCTGGGTGGATTTGTAGCATAGCCGCGTTCTTGCTTCACGCATAAGTCGTGTCCTATAAGATCGAAACATTTTTGGTGCAGCAATAATGTGGTCTTGTTCAATCTACTTGCCGCTATCATTTTGGATTTGAACCACGATACTTGACGTAAAGTGTGCGGTTGCAAAACAAGGTTAAGGTGGTCGCTGATATCCGTCCAGGGTTTTCTAACCATGAATCCTATTTTTTATGTGGAAATTATCGTATTGAAACACTAGAGGCATGGTAGTTGCCAAAGTTGTGAACTTGAGTGTTGCGTCATTTCCACAGTCGTTCTGAAAATTATCGTTTTAAAAATTATCCTACATAGTTCGGATAAGCATTGAGAAGAGCCGTAACGTAGATCCGTTTAAACCATCTAAGTGTTTGCGCATCGAGTCATCGTGGTGCGATCTGTCTTGCGTGCAAAACAGTTCAGATGCGGGCTAAAACTAGGTGCGAGGGTCAATTGGTCGGACTCACATTCCTCACGTCGCAGGTAGGCCCAACGAAAGGTCGTGGGCATTTGCAAGCACCAGTGCGTGGAGAACAGTGACCGCCGTTGGAACAACTGCACCGGTAGCTGCAATTCTCACCGAAGAACTGTCCAGACTGACAACCTAGTATGTATAAAAGATACTACTGAACTTTATCGTTTGGAGGGTGAAGTGCTGTAGAGGGTTTACTGCATGCAAGGAATTTCATGTGCCAATGTGTAAGAGCAAAGGGTTTTCACTGTAGATCGCCGTGGTCTTTTCGGAGTCTCAGCGTCTAAACGTGAAGAAATCAAACCTCCGTATCACAGAAATGAACTTGGTGACAACCCTTAACGTAATTGCTAAGGTCCTGAACACTGCCGAATTTCCCCTAGGCCACTTAACGAAAACTGTCGAGTTTTACAACGCCTTCTCTAAATAAAGTAAATTATCGGGAAGTCGAACGCTGTATTGCCGGGGGTCTCTGATTCCCTAAGTTGCAAGTTGTGAAAGGTTTGGTTTCACGCTGGGTTGAAATTGTTACGCCAAATGAACTTACTGAAGGTCCGCTTAAATTCTCATGTATTTACAGGAGTAAAGTGGAAGGAAGCCTCATGTGTTGACGAAGCACACTCCGGATTCTACAGCACTACCCGGACACTGATTTATTTGATCAAATACAATTTGTGCGAGTCTAATCTAGGTTGACCACTGAGGTATTTCGCCATCACATTTTTCTCGAGATTACATACAAAGCACACATTTTACATGGTTGGCCATGTGTATTTTAACAAACATCCAAACAAAAATTTAACTTAGCTACGCCTTATTAACATTCTGAACCAGGAGTGCAACCAAGTGCATCTGGCCGGTGAAGTGCTGGTTTGACGAACTTCCCAAAGGTAATCTACCCTGCCTTTATACGCATCCCAAATGACAGATACTGGTTGATTGACGTAGATGGAATTACAGTACAAATATTCTACTTACATTCCACTTTAGTACTAAAGAAGTTGTTACTACCACATGACACGTAGCAATTGGTTTTGTTCAAACTTGGGACCAACTATGACGTTTCGTAATTCATGCGGACAACATTCAATGACAACGAGTGCATTGACACTGATTTTGACGACAGCACAGCGTTTACTGCAAGCGTTCGTCGTCTGATTACGGTGTTCAGCCGGTGGTTACTAAAAGCAGACTGGAAAGGGGCTCGGTAATAAGGCTGGCCGCGACGCCGAGAGTTCTTACTGAGTTCACAGGTTGCGCCATATTGGCCTAAATCGCAGAGGCAGCGTCCCGTTTCGAAGTGACATTCCTCGCAGCCATGGCATCGTTGTGCGCATTTCTCTCCATAGTAACCTCTGGGACACACTAAAATATGAAAAACGGTCGTAATGAGGTCACTAGAATACTTAAAAACATGTAGGTAAATCTCTGAAGAGGCGAAAGACAACCCAGAAGAACCAATTTATGTGAAAGAATCGTTTGTTGGATGAATTTAATGCTGATCTCAGACAAATTATTCTGGGCTTAGCGACAGCGCCTAGGACGTCATGGCCTCCTGTGCTACGGTGTTTGAAACAACTGAAAGAAGTGGACAATTGACAGTGCAATGTCCATCAACTTTCTATTTGAAACCAAATTTAACGTTCAGCCATTTGTGGAAATCTTTTGGTCAGACTAAAAAAGTCATTTCATTTTCAAGAATTTAACAAAGTGAATGAGAAGCGTAATCAATTCATTGACTGGCACTCAGCATCCGCAGGTCACAAATCAAAGTTGTGTATTCACCTTCGAGAAAGTGCTAGTGCCAATGCAGTGAGGTTACAAGATAAACTTGATTACAGAAGATCGCCTTAACTGAAAAAACTCCACAACTGATTGATCACAATTATGTCATTTAGGCATGATAATGCGAAACCTCGCAGTGCCGTGACCATCTAAATAAAATTAAAAGCTTCGACTTAAGTCCTGCCCAGATCGTCATATTCTCCACATGCTGTTCTGTTGGCTTACGGTCCTCAGGGTTCATTTGGGGAATCCATTTCCTAATAAAGGGTTTGCTCGAAATAAAACCCAAAGAAACATTTGCCTTAATAGAATCTTCATTTTATAAGAAAGGGTACTGAAGGCCTGACAGACAAATAAAGTAAAATCAGCAGTAGCTTATAAATCCGGTTTCAAGTTAATACAAATTCAACGCTTAATAATTGTAACCTTGCATAGACAACAGAGCCGCACTACTTAGGGCTAGTTTTCAAGTTTTACAGAAACAATTACGGCAGCTGATTATTTGGTGCATTTATTGACATACAAATCCTGGCGCACTTGCAGATAATATGAACCAGATGATCGAACATTACTTCGAAGTCTCGTTGCAAAAAAAGTGTATTAAAGATAAACAGCCATTATTTATGGCAACTGCTGTACCCAAACCCTAGTTGACTAATTTGGCATCGCTATTTCAAGTTAGATGCTTGAAATAGCTGAACCATGCGAAGTCCTCTAATCTCGATATTTGAAGATCAAAGGGCATAATACAATGATTGCTCAATTAATTTGATTTAAATAATTATTGTGTAAGGCATGCAGCCTTTTGAAAGCACCAATTTTCGCTTTCCTGTTTTAGCATCTGAGCTCAACAGTTCAATGGCCGAGTTGTTTTAATCATTAAATTCCGCTTAAGCAAGCCACGGAGCTTTGAGAAACACGCTACATTGAAATAGATAAGGGCATAAATCAAGGTACAATCGTAAGCCTTCTATAACACTCGTTTAAGTTTTTTGTTCAAAATAGTTGATGTCGAATAATGCTTAAACCGACCTTGGTCGCACCGATCACTGGTGTATCCAGGTTTGCAGTTGCATCGGCCGGTGAGAGGGTCGCAGTCGGTCTCCCCACCTCGTGGGTTGAAACAGTTGCATTTGAGACCACAACCGGGACCCCACCAACCCGACGGACAGCGGTGCTGACAGAGCGGCCCGAAAAATCCACTTGGACAATCACAGGCCCCACTGACCGGGTCACATCGCGCCCCGTTTTGACATATACAAACCTTCGTTAAAAGAGAAAGAAAATGCACTTAATTTTATTACAACTTGCAATTTGTTTGCTACCAAATACCAAGAAGCTCTCTGGATTAATAAGATTTTCACGCTGTTAACATGAAATTTTATAAAACTCTATATCTAATCATCTAATCAGTTGCCCGATATTCAAACAACCGAAAATGATTAGCACTTTAGTGAAAAATCATTTTAAAGGACAAACCCAAAATGTAGGTAAACTAATTTTTGCCTCTCCGTGATAATAAAATTTGGCAAATTTTGTTTACAAAGACGATGAATTTAAACCCACCTGCGAGCAGCCGGGTCCAAATCGACCTTCAGGACAGCTGGCACTGCAATCACTTCCCTCAGTCCCCGGTGGGCAGGGACAGAGTCCGGTCTGTGGGTGACAGACGAGCAAGTCGCCAGCTCGCGGTAGCCTCCTACCCATGGAAACAATGAGGTTTTGAGAGTGGTCACCGTCGGAGTCATAATCAGAACTGGGAAGGCCACGAACGCCATCGCTTAGTCCTCCAACGCAAATCGGACACTTGGAATTACATTTTCGACCCCACTTTCCCGGTGGACAGGCTAAAATTAGGCAAACACAGGGAGAGGGAATTAGAGTAGCACCATCATACTTATTTCGCAGTCATCTTTTAAGGCCTTCACTTAGTATAGCACAGATAAGCAAAAATAAAATACATTGAGAATTGTTGAACCCATCTCAGTGAAATATTTCAATCAGTACATTAAGCTTACTCAGCTCGCAATTCTCTCCGTAGTAGCCAGGATCACAATCACAAGCTCCAGTAACGGCGTCGCAGGATTCCTCGTGAATGCACTGACATCGAAGTCGACAGCCATCACCATAAAACCCATTTGGACAAGGGATTGAACAGTGTTCGCCATAGAAACCTGTAGTAGTAATACACATGTACTGATTACACCATAATATATTGAAACATACAATAATGCATCTTCGAAGCTGTCTCACCAGACTTTAATAACTAAGATTATCTTCAGACAAGTTTAAATTGAGTCATCGAAGAAGGATTAGTTAAAACTGGGCCAAGAAACTTGCATTCTCGTTACCAGTCAATAGACCTCATGCACATGAATATTGACAAAAATTATGGGCAAAAATAACTTAAGTAGTGGCTGTATTTATTGTCAGATACCAAAGAACGATCAAGTCTTTAAAATTTAGAAGAATGTTAAGCTCTATCGCACTAATATTTGTCTGCCTTTTTAGAAAACTTGTGAATTAGTATGTAGCTGTGTACTGCCGTACAGTCTTGCCAATTGGTCGGTCGTGGTGACCATAGAAGAGAGTGGCGATAGCGGACACCGGCGTTTATTCACCGTACGGGCCAGTTGGATGTGGATTTCGACGGCGTAGTCATAGAGTAATAATCTGATTGATATTACCAATCCTGAGCGTGTCGTGTCTCAAACTAACCGAAATGCAGCGGAGCGATTCGCGCATCCAGCATACCACAGCAGAAGTGTCAAATTTTTCCACACTAATCAGGTAATATTAATCTGAACGTTTGTGTGTCTTTAAGAGACAGAATTTTCAGGTAAGTCTTCCTGCCAAAAAAATTGCTGTATTGTATATCATTAAACTACCAATCCTAGGTATGTAAGTTCGTATTTAACCTACGCATGCACACCTTCTTTGAAGTATAATGTTCAGGGCACTTAGATGATAGCAGGGAATACTAACCAATTTGATAAATTGGTTCACTAAGACATTAACATTTAAATGAGAGAAGCTCCTGGGATTTATGTCTTGATCCTAAATTTATCTCAAATTTAACTCGCTATTAGATTAGATGAAACGAGCTGTCCCAAGTTTTTTCGCCTGGTACATTCACGTGGGTAATACTGATTCGAAACGTTGGCATTGTTATTGACACAAACTAGACGAAAGATCGTAAGGAACTTGGATCATTTCATGGCCTACGGGGCCAGTCAAACTAAAAAACAAGTGGAATCATCAAAACAGAATTTTAAGCTGTAGGATTTCCACATCATTAGCGAAGCTGTTCATCCTGGGAATCTGCTTAGTTGAATGCCAGCCAAAATACAATCAACACCATCTGTCACTTGGTTAATAGAGTGATTGTTAGTACTTGTGATGTGGTGGAGGGTAACGCACCTGGTTTGCACATGCAAGTGCCATTGTCAGGATGACAAATTCCGCCGTTATCACATGAACACGAACGTTCGCATCGCGGCCCGTATGTACCCTCAGGACATCCTGCAAAGTAAATGATGTGCTGCATTTGTGAGGTGTTTGATTATGGATAATGAAGGACATATAGGTGGGTGAATGCTGCTGCCGTGAAATCGTCAGTTAGAGAGAGTCAAAAGGCATTCAACACGGTGGAATTGATCCACTTTCTCCGATTATCACTTCGATATGCATATTCTTGGAAGGATTTTCCATAGTGACTAGTTAAAATTTTGGCCAAATAGGTAGTATTAGTGGAGTTAATCGAATCTGTACTGCAGTGCAATATATTCCCTCCACCAGGTATCGAATTGGCCTTGTTATAGAATGCCATCGTATGCATCACAATGTACAGATAAACCGAGCATCCACATGTATGACGAGACGCGTTTCAGATCACCGATATTTGTAACCCATGCAGATAAAATTTTATCGCGATCAAAGAAGCAAAATGACGCATCCATCTTGTTCTAAATTATGATCCGAATGAGATGTGGTTTACGTAATTCTTTGACAAAAATTTTATGCCCCACAGACAGTATAAAATTGCACAAACTGGAATGCCAACTTGTTAAATCGGCCAAATCCTCCCATTGATCTCTTAGTTACGATGGTGCTATTTCGCCTGTAGTGAGTTATTTATTCACGCCCACCACATCTTGTCAGCGCATGACCGACCTCCTGCCTCTCGTCTCAGAGACCCCATCTCCCATGAGGGCGTGTGTGATTATGCACCCCTGTACATATCCCTCCTCCCCTGTCACTCTGACCAGCATTCAGATGCGTGCACATCTGTTAGTTGGTGATTGGCGGCCGCCATCATGCATGTCACCCATGTGCAGGTCTTCCACATAAAAGTATACACGGCTTCGATGAACTACGCATAACCAAGCACTCAGGGTCCAGACGCCCTGTAAGCGATTGTCTCCGTTGTGTTGGTTCTTAATCCTCCTAGTAACTGTATAGGGAAATCGAGTTCACATATTTTGGCGATTTCTGTGTAGTTCGAGACCTGATCTGAGGCCCAAGCAAACGCTGACCCTGACGTGATCAGCAAGCTAAACCCGGGCCTCAACACGCTCCCATAATAATAAACTGACGATTTGTCCCCCAAACATTCGTCGGTTACACCACAACCTATGCAAAACTTGATACAGTTTCCTCTTCTTCAGTAGAAAAGTGGCAGAATTTAACGTATAATATTTGTTTATTTCTGGAAACTAAGACTTTATACTCAGGTTCGAGCTTAGACATACCTGTGATTTCACAATTTTTGGCAGTAGAAAGTATTTTTGGATCGGCAAGAGACCAATTGAACTCACTTGCAACACACCGGTCACCAGCAGCACTCCAGCCGTCGGGACATTGGCACTGGCCATTTTCGGGGTCGCATATGGCATTGGGTCCGAGTTGGTCCTTGCACCGGCAGACGCGTTTGCAGTCCACACCCCACGTGCCAGCAGGGCACGCGACGCGGCATTGCGGGCCCGTCCGTCCGGGGGGACATGCGCACTCACCGGTCTCGTGGTTGCACGGTCTGTGGTTCGGGCAGTCGCATCTGAAGCGTGGATTTTTTAGCGTGCGTTCAAGTCAAGCTTTACTTACATCCTAGTGAGTCACGGCCTTCAAATTTCTAGGTGGAGTAATTTAATTGCTTATCGAATCCTGGGTTCTTTAATCCGATTGAAAATAATAAAATCGAGAGTGAGTGATATGCTTAGGTGTGATGGTCTGGTTACGGTAATTTGCATGAGCGTGTTGACGCCCTTTACCACGCGAAGAAACCAAGGAAGAAAATAAGTCCAGAGATGGCAGGCACGACCGTTTGCTAGACAGCTCAACCAAGTGTGTGTGTGTGTGGGTGTGTGTCTACTGGTACAGTTGAGTGGACAAGTAAAAAAACACAAGCGTCTCTGAGGTCACATGACTAAAGCGGGTGGTGGTGGTACATGCAGAGGGGTTAATGAACCGGCGGCCTCACGTGACTGACGGGCACGCCGTGAAAAGGGGGGACGTGTGTTGGGGGCTGCGACGACCGGGTTATTGGAAGTGAAGCCATAGGAATCACTACAAGCGCAAGTGAATGGTCACAGTAATTGTTTTACAGATTAGTCATGGTTATTCAATTTTTTGTGACGACCGTGATTTTGCCGGTGAAAATCGTCGTCACATCCCGTGACCACGCATCACGTACCCTCAGTGTCGACATTATATTGCAAAGTGACATGTTTAAGCAATTAGTTCGACATTTTTTTTCATATTTCAGTGGATCTTTTAAGTTCTAAGCACCACCATATTAAAATGATTACCAAAATTTAGCCAAGATTCCACCGGATATTTTAATCTACTAATGTTCAGAACCTATTCGCTTCTTAGAAATGCCTCCGGCTAACTCACATTCACTATAGTTGTTTAGTGACCGATGGGCCAACGAAAGAGCTAAAAGAAAGCATTGCTTGAAGAACGTCAACACATTTGATGAAAGGGGACTAGGTGTTATAAGTTTTTAAAAGGTAACCTTATTTGTTTTTTGGGATTGGCAAGGAAAGGCTGACATACCGGCATTCAAAGGGTTATTCGACCAATGTTTTATTCATCACTTAAATTTGGTCCACTTTGAATACGCCCGCGCTTAATCAACAAGATTCACAGCTGTCACTGCAATTCAGGTATGACCGCTTCTCATGTTTGCTCACCCCCGGATGCCCCTGCTGAGCTACTTGGTTCTAACTCGTGCCCACCCCGGTGAACTCAAATTTTAATCTTGAACGTTACCTGTAGTTGTAGGCCAACCTCGCAAATCCTTTATGCTAAAATCCAATGACTTGCTCCACGCTTTTCACTCACGTGACCTAAAAATACGCAGCAACACCCAGTTCCAGCGGCCCAATAAACAGTTGAGCCTCCATCGACTTTGATTCCCCCCTTCTTCACTGGACACTCGGGTTCTAATCGGGCCGCAAAAGCAATTTATTTGCCGCGCTGTGGGTGTGGGACCCCTATTAGGGAACCTCAACACACTCTAATATTTCTAGACCAGATATTAATGAGCTAAATGTAATCGATTGTGCCTACCTTTGACGACAGTTCTGTCCATAGGTACCTTGGGGACAGGGTTTTTCACAGTGACTTCCCGTCCAGCCGGGTGGACACGAGCACTGTCCACTGACCGGGTCGCAGTGGGCTCCTGGGTGCCGACATTCACATGTCTGCGTGCAGTTCTTCCCGTAGTGGCCCCGGTCGCACGCTTTAAAACATGCAAAGGTGAAGTCGTTTCTTTACTCAGTATCATATTAAAAGTCAGCAAAATTGAAGAAGTTAATTAACTATAGTTCTGAACCATTTTCTTCTTGAACCGGTAAATTATGAACCGATCAATGAGCTGCTTAGTCAGATTTTCCAGCCCAAAGCCGCTACCATCTGATGATTTTTGTCCCGAGAGATGTCAGTTGGCAATTCTGGATTTCGCAAATGATCCCATGTCATGGAGTCTGGAATTCAGAGGAAATTAATCTGCGGACTCATTATACATAGACTCCAGTTAGTTATTTATGTAAAGCTTTAGTTGTTGCGTGTGTTGAAATAGGGACAGCAGCCATCGACATTGAAGAGTTGGGTTCAAAATTATGGGAATAGATTTAGAGCCAACTTAAAAGAGACTCCAATTTTCCTTGAATCATTTTTCGGGTAGGAGTTACTCCAGTTGGTGATGAATCTCTCAGGTAAAGGAACTCTATGAATGGTGAAAATGAAATCATGTATATGACTTGCGTTTGTGACAGTCAGACCCCGTGTACCCAGCCGGACATTGACACTGTCCAGTAAATCGGTCGCAGTCGACATTATCTTTGCATTGGCAGACGTGGATACAGCCATCCCCCCATCTCCCGGGGGGACAAGGCTGTTCACACATCTCCCCATACCACCCGGCCGGGCAGTTACAGGTTCCGTCCACAGGGGAGCACGTGGCGCCACGAAGACACACGCAGGTGTGACTGCAACTCTCGCCCCACCGACCACGGGGGCACGAGGCTTCACATCGGGCGCCCGTGCGACCGGGGGGACACCGACACACTCCAGTGACCTTGTCGCACTCGATTCCGGCCACATCGGTGGCGCAATCACACCGCCTTTCACAATCTTGTCCATACTGACCATCTGGACATGGAAGACGGCAGTCCGAACCCGACCAGCCTAAAGAATCAAGCAGATAAGAGTATCAATTCAAAAATACGTAAATGTACCGGGACGTAATGAGTAGTAGAACCAAACATGTTCGCCCCAATAGACGGGCTTAGCACGACTTTCATAAAACTGACACAAAGTTCAAGCCATTACTTGATAACCTTAAATAAATCACACACAAAATTAAAATTCGACCCTTTTTTACCATGGGACACGACTAGAATCACTAATCGAGATAACTGTGTATCCCCAGAAGAGGAATCTGGTAAAGTTACCACTCAAACACTTTGTGCTTGTTGTTGGTTATTTAAGTCGTCATTAAGGCCTGCTTTTGATTTTCTTCGGGGTATGTTATAGGAAAGGGCTGTGTGAACGCAAAGGTGGACGATGGAATTTGGAACGGTGGATTCAGCAGGTGCAATATGCGATTAAGGCAACTCGCCTGGAGCGCAGGTACACTTTCCAGTGACATGACTGCACTCAGCGCCATTGTGGCAGTTGCAGACGTGCTGGCAGTCGTCACCGTAGTAGCCGGGCGGGCAGGGCAGGTCGCAGTGCATGTTGTGCCAACCGGCGTCGCACTCGCATGCGCCCGATCGGTGGTCGCATTTCCCGTGGACGCAGGCACACGTCGACTCGCAGTTCTGCCCAAACTTTCCTTTTGGACACGCTGTATTGTGCATGAATAGCATACAAAAAATCTTAAATTAATTTTAATTTGAAAAAAAAATAATTCAATGAACAAAATATGACAGGTGCGTACGCTGGTCGCAGTTGTGCCCAGTGTAACCTGGTGAACAGATGCAGATTCCGGTATCCTTATCACATTCCAGCCCATTTTTGCATTCACAGGTTCTTTCGCAGTTTGGGCCCCAGCGACTCGGTGGACAAACTAGAGAACCGTAAAGCGGATAAAAGACCACTCAACTTGAGCTAGGCAGACAGATCAGGCCTCGTAAAACATGCGATTGTCACCTTTAAGCTGGAGCAAGTCAATCGCGGCACAGTAAAAATAATTGGTAGTGAGTCGCTTCTACCGATTTCCCGTTTTAAGTATGACAAACCGTTGGGCAGTCAATTATCTCTCTGGCTATGGCAGTAATTTCGATAACGATAGGTAGGAATTTCAAAAAAATGAGGCATTATTCCCTGCAATGAGGTGTATTTCGAGCAGTGAAAAGGAATAGCAATAAATTGTACGTGGAAACGGATCATAAATCATGTCTCTAGTTTAAAATTGCTTGAACAATCATTGTCCACTCATTATTCAAAGATCTTGCCTTGGAACCTTACAACTAAGAGGTCATTTGTGGTGGTGATGGGTGCATCAACACACAGCGGCGTTCGGCGTGTCACAAAGTCAACTACAGCGTTTAAATGCAAAAAAACTTAGTATGTTAACTTAGCATAAAAACAGGTTTAACTCACCCGGGCGAACCTGAATTTCCGGTACCGGATCGTTTTCTACAAACGGACAGGAAAACATGCCAGGAAATCAAATGCGCGCTTTTTAATGTATTTAAGGAAGCCTTATTAGCCATACTACCCACCGTTTTAACTTCCCAATAAAACCTACACATCAAGCAGTCACCTCACAACCAGCGTCATTATACTACGTGGATCATTTCCACTACGCCCTTTTTAGTTTCCACGACTAGATAAACGTTTTCTATCATATGGTGCTTTTCGCTACCATGTCAAAAACGAGTCCAAAATACGAGTAAGGCGTCATGAGAGGTATCACGTAATGTGGAAGCAGTTCTGGTCGAATGTCGAATATGTGAAGCAAGTGATTTTTAAGGTTGTCAACACTAACCTTTGTTAAGACTGATGCAGTAACTCCTCCATTTGGTGAACTTACAGGCAGTAATGAATTTACTTCAGATCTAAAGACTACTTTGATAACAGTAAATAAGTGGACTCACGAATGTTGCATGTTTTGCCTTTGCTTCCGTCAGCGCAGAGGCACATTCCATCGACGGGGTCGCATTTGAGGCCCAGAGGGCCGCAATCACAAGATTCTGCACAATCTACTCCATATCGTCCATCAGGGCAAACTAAAGTGTCGTAAATTTTAATCGGATAATAAAACAGTCTGTCTTTTTGGATTTAGTGACAATGATAAAACAAACTCACTCTGATCACAGTTTGCGCCCCACCTGCCTGGGTCACAGGGGCCTTCACATTTGCCAGTCTCGGGATCACACCCACGGGGGCAGTGCTTGCAGCTTTCAAGACAGTCACGACCATAGAACCCGAATCCACAAGGTTTTACGCATCCAACCGAATGGTACCCAGGCTTACACAAACACTCTCCAGTCTATTGAAACAGGAATGCAAATCAGCAGAGTTTTGAAACTCTTAACTGCACCAAGACACAAGACTATCAAAAGGAAGGTTTAACGCTATAAAATGTACCGTCTCAGGATCGTGTTTGCAATCTCTTGTTAAGCAATGGCAAGGCTTTGTAGTTGATCTGCTTTGAAACTAAGGGAACCTGGAAAAATTGAGGCAAATAGGCTGTTGAACCGTTTGTTTAGTTACTGAGGTCACCGATGGATTAAATGGTTTACAGTCTGCAGCATCGACTTGGCTCACCTCTGGATCACAGCCCCTGAAGTTGCTCTTGGGATCGGAGCACATTGCTGGACAAGCCTCAGAACACATCTCGCCGTAGGTGCCTTCAGGACAGGTGATGTGGCAGGAGGCGCCGTACTTGCCCGGCGCGCAAGTGCAGGCTCCCGTCTTCGAATGGCAATAGCCAGTGGAACATTTTTTGGGGCATCGTTTGTCGCACTCAGAACCCCAGAAGCCTGGTGGACAACCGACTTTTTCACACTTCTTTCCGTAACGACCAGGTGGGCATCGACAAACTCCGTTTACTGGATTACAATTGCCAGAGGGACACTCGCAACTGCGCTTGCAGCCCAGACCCCAGGTGCCCTTAAAATAAAGGAATACTTCCGATAAAAGATTGGCCTGAACTAGCGTATTTACACGAGACACGAATCATGGATTTGACGATGAATCTACGCCTATTTTGTATTGTCCTAAAACCCCCTAAAATAGCTACAACCACCTTAAAACGAATTATACAATTTTGTACAAATTGTAGCAAAATTTGGTTCCAATTAGATCCACATCCCAACGTAGTAGGAAATCTCCGTAAGACGATCGGCATGAATCGGTGGCCACCTCGGAGATTATGGCGTGAAGCATGGACGCTCAATCACCGACGAAATGGCATTCATGAGTAGTGGAAAAACGTACTGCTGGACATGGCTCTTCACAGAGCTCGCCAGTAAATCCGGGTTGACAGCTGCACCCCCGACCATCATTCCGGCACAGGGCACCGTTCTGGCAGCGAGAGCAGTCGTATTCACAACGCGGCCCGAAGGTTCCCATTGGGCAGAATTCTGCAATTGTTTGGAAGATTTCTGTGAGTGGCAACATCGTGCAATTTTGGCGTTTCGACAGAGTTTACAACGCAGTGACAAGCCAACAACACACAAAGACAAATTAACAATGCAGTCAAACAACAGAACGGGGCAAACCTGCTGGATTTGCGATAAATGGTTCGTACGAATCATCTCCCATCATCACTGAACAAAGCAATAATGACAAAGTTACCAACTTTAATTGACTGACTTGAGTGATTGATTAACGCCTTTCCCAGTCTAAAAATCTCACGTAGTTAAAAATTTATATTCCCAGTCCTCGGCTACCGCTGTTACTTTGGTGGATTGGCCATGGGATGATGCCTAGTTTCCCCACAAAATCTGGTCGTTTCTTGAAATTCCTGTTGATTCATGGCTGTCACCTTTGTCGACGCATGTCCAAACGCCTTTTGGATAATCCATGATGTCTGCCTGAATTCGCTGTTCATGTCAATTCACAAGCACCCGCCATTTAGCACATACTGTCTGTTTGCTAGCGCATTCAAACTCTTGTGGTTAATGACCGTCAGCGGACTTTACCTTCCAACGCACAATTGGGCTAAGTAGCTCAGTAAACTATCTCAATCGCCGCTGGTCTTCTTACATCTTTCCTGATTATCACTCGTCGTGTTCTTCAAAGAATAAAGCGGATCCTGACAACACACTACTTTTTTAATTTGCTGAAGTCGAAAAATCAAGAACTGTCACAACGATATAAACCTTGTATCCCTGTCATTACGATACAGAAAACTCCTTACAAAACTCGGGGCCATAAAGGATGGTAGTTAGAGATAAACGGTGCTAGTGATTCGGGAATCGACACACCCCTTTTTACCACTGAAGTTGGGTTGATTTCGACAGTACAAAATGTTTCGAAAGTTTCATCTAGATGGCAGAAAAGCGATGATAAAGGATGATATTTAGAGATAAACAGCACTAATGATTCGGTTATTGTAATTTTTTTTACGATTTCACACCCGTTTGTCGATGAAGTTGGGGTTGACGTCGATAGTACGAATGTTATGAAAGTTTAATCTATATGACAGAAAAGTGCACATTTTTAAAGGAATAACTTACTTTCATGAATATCTCCCCCACCCTCGTAGTTTGGTGGCCTCAGCAGGCCACCTGAAGGCCGACTATCGTCACCAGCATAACTTGAGCCTGAAATGTGACACAAAGGCGTTTTCAGTAGTAGTCTTGAGAGTTATCTTTGTGTCGTAAACATATACTGATGATTTGAGCATTAGCCCAGCAACTGGGCATGTTTCAGACACGACCAGACATGACGCATTATCAAGGTGTCAATTGGCTTAATTTTCAGCCCAGTCGAGAAATTCGGACTAAGGATAAGGGCATTCGCAAGTTAAGAGAGGCGCTCTACACTCTAAGCACAGGGCTTATTCTGCGTAAAAGTTCGAAGTTGTGCGTAATCAAACAGTGCGAACTCTTAAATTGAGTTCAGCTTGAATTCATTTAAAATCATCAGAGTTCCAAAAAATACTTGACAAAAAAAACAAGCGATTTGAAAAATGAAGACTTTGTACTCACGGACACAAGTCTGTCCATCTTCAGCTAACTCTTCTCCAACCTGACATATGCATTTGTAACTGCCAGGGGTGTTAATGCATTTCCCAGAGCAGCCGCCGTTGTAGTTTAGACATTCATCAATATCTATTTAGGAAAAAATCTGTAAGCCCATTACTGAAATCGAAGAAGTAGCCGTTAGTAAACACAATACCTTGACAGGAGAATCCATCCCCGGAGAGGCGATATCCCTCATCACAAGCACACCGATATCCGCCGATCTCGTTGATGCATTTCGAGGCAACCCCATGGCATTTGGCATCGCCAGTTGCGCATTCATCACGGTCTAACAAATTGGAAGTATCTTTGTTTATTTTGTCAGAAAAAATGGCTGGTTTATTGCACCAAATGATTTTCGTAGCCAAAAGTACTGGTAACATTTGTATGAATGATCCACTGATCCAATCCTAAGTTCTGATATCCTAAGGGTCATTACTTATGCCATCATCGCACATGCTCTCAAATTGCAGCTCAAAATTTTGTTGGGATGCCCAAAATTAGCCAGGGATGAACTCATTTTAGAAATGACTCGACTTTGTTTCAGCCGCATCAATCTGCACAATGAAAAATAGGTTCTTTTGCTCACCTTGTAAGGGCATTCAAGTTACGTTGACTTACACTGGTGGTTTGTAAGTTCACCAGTTCAGGCACAACCAGCTTAATGAGCATCAAGCACGGGATTGTGTTGTTACATTAAGGTATGCAAAACACGATTAAAAGGTTCTCGTTTAAATAATGTTTAACATGAGAAGAGGTTTTGCAGGAACAGGATGCATAAGCACCGAAATTCTGGCTCCTTTTTTACGCTGCATCTCAAGTGAACTTACCAGTGGTACGCAGCACGGTCTTTTATCCTGAGGCTCGCCTGCACGAGCCTCAGGATAAACTTTAATCAAGACCTTTGCAGCAGGATGTTGCGGTATCGTAAAAAAACAAACCCATTCAGGAAAAATACACTTCCGTTCTCTTTATTGACTTTGTAATACCGATTAGAAAACCTACAGCATCAGCAGTCCCTGGATGAATTCGCCAATTTTGTTGGCATAACATTTCACTTCATAAAAATAAAATTTCAGACATGAAATTGCCTGGGTTGGTAACAGATTCAATCATTCGACAGTCAATTACTATACCATTAATTTTCTTCTGATAAAACGCTTTAAAGTACTTTGGAGTGAACAAACGAGTCATGTCATATCAGTGAAACCATTGGATCTTCAAACGCACGTGATCGTTGAGGCGTGTTCCTTAAAATGTTCCCTCCAATGTGGTAGTCCAGAGTCAGTTTATCCAGCATTTTCTAATAAGCATTTTTGTAAGGTGCATTCAATTGCGCATGCATATTACTACTAACTGAAGGAAGGCACCCGGTCCCAGAAAATCCAAATCTCATGCCAAGTGGCCGCTACCTTCGCAAGTTCGCCCATCGGCCTGGAGATCGAATCCGGGATTGCAAGCGCATTCCGCTGTGCCAGCCGACGTTCGGATGCACTTCTGCGTACAGCCGCCGTTTCCATTTTCACAGGGGTTTGTCACTTCCAAAACGACTCCTAAAATCAAACAATTCCATGACTTTTAAAGGGACCCTTTATTAAACCCTAACATTGGCTAAATAGCACAATGGACACCTGCTATTATGTGGCATCAGCAGTTTAGGAAAAATTTGTTTAGCTAATTCAGCAGAACATTGAAGCATGAGAAGCAGTAATCAAAAACCCTCAAGTTTTTTGGGTCAACAATACAATGAAATTTGCGCGGAAAGGATACACTTTCAGAATTCAAAATGAGCAGATAACAATTAGTTAATAGGCACGCACTCCATTTTGCAACACAATTGAAGCCAGCCAACATTATTAGCAGTAGCTGGTTGGTCCTAGCAACGTTTAAAGTGAACCCATTTCACCGCCAAGGTCTAAAATGGAGTGCCTTTTTAGCGCTGAAAGTTTGACAATACCTGGTTACTTTGGTCAATAGGCGACACACAATACCAAGTAAAATAAATTTCACTAACTGTAACATGTTCTTCCGTCGTTTCCGAGTTGCCAGCCGGGATTGCAGTCGCAGCTGTAAGATCCCTCCACGTTTATACAACGGTGCTGACAACCCCCGTTTCCTCTTTCGCATTCATTTACATCTAAAGGAAGAAAATATTAGAACTGGTTGACTTTTTTCATTTAGCCTGTCCATCTAGTTGATGTGAAGATCGTCAAATAAGACATCGGCCTATTTTGAAAAGAATGCCAACCTGCAGTGCAGCTGTGGTAGTCATCACGAATACCGACAGCCGACAGTATGTGAAATTAGGTGCATGCACGGTAGACAATCCCGTTTTTCAGAATCCATTTACTACAAAAGGCGACTTTCCGTGGTTTTAATCAGGTTTAATTATTCTCAAAAAGTACCACAAAGTGCCTTAAGTTTCTATAGCAATAGTAGGTTTCTATAGCAACTCGATCACGAATTACCTCTGCTTACGTGTACATCTGCCTACTAACTGCTGAAAGCATTAGAGAGTGATACATTGGGCTGTATCGAAGGTTACATCTTAAAGTCTAACGCAATTTTCTTCTTTGGAAGATATCAGATTGAAGCAAAACTGCATAATATGACAGTAGTCTGCATTGTTTCATTTAATTCAAATATCAAGAGTGAAAATTTAGTTTTTATAATAGCTGCCTTATTATGGTGTTTTTAAACACTCAAAATGAGATGTGGGAGCTATAGAGAAGGCATTCAAAGTATGCTGGAAAGTTAAAAAGGTCTTTTTTGACAAAATAATGCCTTCCATACACCTGTGGATAAATGACAAACAGTGATGGACTACATTAAATGCCATCTCTTCCTAACAAGGAATATCCACAAGCAACGAGTTTCCAATTCCATTCAGGTAGTCGGGATTGAAACAAAATTACAAACCCAAGTGAACTGTCAATCTTCGGTTTTGCTCAAATGAGGTCAAATGCGCCAGAAAGGCCAAACGAGAGTAAATGTGAGAGTGTAAGTTCGGTGATCTTGACAAATGTTTTATTGTCATCAGTGAATAAGGACGTTAAAAACGACATGAATTGTGGCTTCCGATGGTAGTAATGAAGCCTCTGTGTTCCAAAACCCCAGCAAATAAAAAACTTCAACCTGTGGCGTAGGACCTGGGTTGCACGCGTTGGATGTTGTCTTCCGGTAGCACTCCGCAAAGTGTCACAAAGGGTGCACATTTAATCAACTAGACTGACTGGCATCGTTGGCCTTGCTTCACCAGGGGGTCTTGTGTATTTGGCACTAATTTCTGGAGCCTGGGTCATGACCAGAACTTGGATTGCAAAGTCAAAGTGTGTCTCCCATAGCCCTTATGAAAACATTCGCACAGCTCAAAAATGCCAGCCTTCTGGACAAACATGTTTTGTCGCTCACATTTGATTTTTGCGGAGCCCTGGGGTGTTAATTCTGTCAGTTCTCTCTGCGTTATTAGCGCGACAATAAGTCGACGTTCAGACAAATATGTCATGATATCCGTGTGCTATCATGAAGTCGTTCAAAGGCTTCTTGTTAGGCAGATTACATCTAAATGAATGGTGGAATGTGACGCTGAGTCAATTTTAATTGAACCAATACCACACTCGCGTGTCCGTATTGGAATTAACGCAATAATAATAAAATCCATAGAACGACGACAATATTGCAGTCTTAAAACAGCCCAAACCTTGCAGAAATTTGATAATTACTTATTAAGGTTGGAAGCTCACCTCAGAAACAATTAAAATGCCAAATAAAAGGAACTTTTTTAAGTGGTCGAATAGCGGTCGAATAGCACTCATGTGTTACCTTGTTGCGGGATATTGAAAGCCAAAGTGAAAGCTGAATGAGTGGCTTTGACGTTGTCTGCAAACCTGACCACTTTTCACAAGAGCGCCAGCTTGGGAACACAAATGGCCTACTTAAATGCCCTCCTAGCACGTACACACCAGGGTTGCTGATTTAGCCTTTGAATCGACAAATCAGACGATTCACTTAGTTACCCTAAACCATCTCCCGTTATAAACCAGTGGAAAAAAAATTATAATTAGAATAAAACGTGTTGATGAAAACGAGTCGTGAGAGAGCCCTCGCATAACAGTGGGGTAAGTTTTACATTGGGACGTTGAGAAATTGTCAACTTGATTAATTTCACCTAAGTTATGTCTTTGCATAATGGTCACAATTTAAGTTTCATATGTTTTACGCTGTCATCTGAAAGCGATAAATCGCGTAAGTCATCTTTATGAAAAAGTTTAAAGATAGTTTACTGAATTAGCAAGTCTACATGCACAATCGTGATCGGCTCACAGATTTTGCCTTGCATAATCGTGGATGACTCAAATTCACGAGCCTTCATTGGTAACTTTCGTCTACATCTTTGGCTTTGTGACAAAAAGCCTCGATTTGTAGCCACATATGCGTGCTGATTCGGTCTATTTACTTTTGGAAGCTTACTTATTTGATTTTTGCACAAGAGGATGAGCTCATCTCCTGAGACAGTGGTTGCGTTCAATATATTTAAACAGTCCTTGGTTTTAAGACAAGCTTGCTAGTCTGAATTGTGCCTTGTTTGTAGACATAAAAGTGCTCTGTCGTTAGTTCTTCGGCTAAATATTCAAGAAATATTAAACCGCAAAGTAATAATTTGAAATACGGTCAGCAATGATCTGCTTAGTAGGGACGAAAATGCAGGTGTTTAATGCACTGAGTCAATTTTGAAGCCTCAAGGAAAGTGTGAAAGCAGGAAACTATGCAATAAAAATGCTATCTCAAATGAAGCTTTCGTAGAATCAGGAAATACTATTCACAGCAAATCATTCTTCCTAGATATCAATTCCAAAAGTTTACCTACCGACACATTTACGAGTGTCATATGGTGAAACCTTGAAGCCTGGACGACAGGAACAAATTCGGGCACCGTTGTCGTTTTCGCAGTGATGCTCGCATCCACCGTTGTCCTCGAGGCAAGGATTCTGCGCTGCAATTTAAATTTATGTCAGCGTAAACAAAATGCCACAATTTGATACGTCAAAAAATTGAAATTAGCAAAGGGTTTCCAATCGAGGCTCTTGAAACGACTTAAGTTAATGACGTGGTGACCGGAAGAGAGACTAGAATTTGGGAAAGATTAAAAATATGCCTCCGGGACAATTTCCCACTTTCACCGCGTCTGGTGGCCAAGTTAATCAAGCCACGACTCTGTATGCAGTCGAGGTGGAAGATCTGAGCATTCTTGCTCTCCGAAGATACCAAATTTGTTTCTGCTTGTGGTTTTTGGAAATTTATCCGACACGTGGTCAATCAAGCAGTGCACGTACAAATGCTTTCACCGTGGACACAAAACTCGGAGCACAAAAGAAAGTTGCAGGCATTAGGTCTGAATTAATGTTTTATGGATTGAAATTTAACATGTCACCAACTTCTATGTTTCGTCGCATTTACATTTACAAGATTCGGGATTTCCGTCTCTTCAGTCAAATGTTAAAGTTTGTGAATTCTATGGGCGACGTTTGACACTGCCTGATATCCTAAAGACTGAAAACATTTGCACTATCAGAAAATGCCAAAGCGAATGTTTTTCTAATGCAATTTGCATCATTTCATTCGACCACATTTTGTGCAACGGAGGGTTTGAGATCATGGCATGCTACTTACTTATCACTTTATGCATTGTTGTGCTTCTGTACTCAAGCAGCCTGAACTAGACGTTCTGCTTAGTGCAACAGAAATAACGAATCAAAAAGTATTTTTTCCATTTTATTCATTTTCAGCTGAATCACGTTTTGAAGTTGTTTGAATGGGAATAAAGAGTATAGGTGGTTGATTTATATATCGGTTTACGACGGGTACAAGAGTGAAGGGATTGAATTACCGATGCACCGTTTCTTGTCCTCGGCCAGCCTGTATCCCGGGTGGCAGGAGCATGCGTACCGGTAGCTGGAGAGAGTCGTGCAGATGTGCTCACACCCACCCTTGGCTGGGGGTTCGCAAGGGTCCATGTCTAGATTAAAAACAACATAAAATGTCAACTAAACCTGTGATCTTCCATTCGAAAAACATTTAGATGGCAGGCGTCGAAAATCCATTGGAACCAGATGCCACAAACTGATTCACAGATTGAACGGAATAGTTGGCAGCTACGAACAGTCCGAAACTCTGGTATATTTCAGAGGAACACTACTGATCCTTCTAAGTCCGCAACTAAAGGTATATACAGCTGACAGAGTCGCCAGAATAAATTGACACCTGCTTCTCCACAGGATGCAGCACTATTCTGAAAACATCATAGAATTATCCAAGCAAGGGAATGGATGGACCTGAACGGATTCAACATGTCCTGACCGGGCTTTGAACTCGCCGGCTTCTAAACTGGACATAGAAAATCCTTGCTATCCTCACACTGGATGCTGCGCTGACGATAATTACGTCACCCAGAACAGGTCGCCTGCAGTTGGATGACCAGTCACTCTTTTGTTGCCTCACTTTAATCCACAATACGGTGAATATTCGACTGTTTCTGTATCAATTCGGAGAGCTACGTAAAATGTTATGGTTATTAAAGCACTCACTCCATAATTTGGTCTACGTGACAGTTAGCAAGCCCTCTGAATTTATTTGGGTTAATATTTTCACACACCACACCTTAAACTACCATTGAACTGAATACGATTTCAATTTAAATTCAGGAAATAATAGCCTACCCGATGTACTTTCGCCTGTTGAATAGTTGAACTCTAGGGTTTAGCCATTCTCTTCATATTCTTCACTTTGATATATGTAGGAAATTTTTTAACGGTTTTTAGAAAAACGACTGATTTCATAGGAAAAGAGACCTTTGATTGGTACTTGAAACCGGCTCTTTAGTTAGAGAAAGACAGCCCACCCGATAAGGGTGTGAATTCGCAGTGTTGCCAGAGCTACGCGATTTCGTCGTCTGCTTAAGTCCTAGCACGTGACCTTAAAAGGCCCACACGTGAGCTTACCAGCGTATGCGACGAAAGTACTGAGCTAAGTCAAGATAGGCAACACGGATCCGAAAATATGGTGGTTTAAAAGTGAAGGATAATGTTAGGATAGTTTATATCATCACGGAAAAAAACGTGCAAATAAAGATGCACACGTTATTCTAGGTCAATTTAGGTGACGTGAAACTTACAGGGTCGACAAGAGAGTTTATCATCCGCCAGTACCATCCCGTCAGGACAGGTACACCGGAAACCTCCAGGGAGATTCTCGCAACCGTACATGCAACCGCCGAGGTTGTTAGTGCACTCATTAATATCTGCGGGTAATTAAATTAATAAATTGGAATTAATGATATGCATTTTTAAAAGGGCAGAGAAAAAGCAAGAGATTACATTGAGACCTCAGTTTCCGGGTACCTTCACCGGCGAAAGTTTTTGCGCGAAAATGTTCCCTTAAGCTGAGACAATAGGCTCTGTTGTCCAAGACAAGTTATCCCGGAAAACTGCTTGGAGAAAATTTGATAATAAGGTTTCATTATTTTGCTGCTGCTCTATAAACTAGTTGGTGCTTCGCCTGATTGAATCCAGTCTCTGTTTACAAAGGTGACCTCTTACTGAAATGTTATTTTGGAAACACTAAATTACCGTAACAAGAATTCTTTTAGAATTTGTGTAGGTTTCCATATCAACTCCAAGTGGAATAAATTGGGAACCATTTATATGGTCTGCTTCTCTTGTTACAAAGAATTCCAGCCAATTTAGATGTTGGGGCTTCACGATATCCCAAGATTGCTCACCGTCGGTTTTTGGCACTATTTACACTAAGTCCCTAACATGCGTTTTGTTACGCTCTTTATCAGGTCAAGGTCAACATTGACTTGAATTAGTTTCACTTTTGACAACTCACTCCGCAGCACTAGCGTCAACAAGGGATCTGGTACCGTTATTTGCGTGATTTTCTTTTTGTGTCCATAAAAATTCAATCCCAGCTTTCGATATTTGTTTTGCCAAATATCTCGTTCCGAAAGTTGCTTTAAATCCTTTAATCAAACCAGAGAAAAAAATCAGTTTCATATTAAGTCAAGGTCCATGACCAGCCTCAAGCTTGAAATTCCGACAAAGGCTCCGAAGTTATTGCTTCAGCAAACTGTGATCAGTAGCCTTTTCGGGGAATAGGCTTACATTAATGTGTAGAAATCATGATACTTTGTTTGAACAACACCGGAGGTTTAAGGGCAGTAAGTAAAATCAGACGTCAAAAGATTGCAAAGGTGAGTCGTGTTTCATGTGGGTGTCTCATGATGAAACCATAGAAATGGCTAAAAACAGATTTTAATCAGGCTTTGTGTCACAGCAATCCAATAAGTCAGTTTCGTGAATTTCTTTTTGGTCATGCAGAATGAAGGAAAAGGGATGGCAGATGTTTTCAGGGACCTGAAGATGATTACAAACTCGATTAAACAAAAGTGGGGCTACTCTAGGTATTGTGCAGACCGGTTGGCCGGAAGGAAGTCTTTGGGTGAGCTCGAAAGTCAAAACTAACGACGAAAGTTCACGCGTTAAATTACGAATTTCACCTCTCCCGAGAATAAGTGAAAAGGTTAACTAGCCTAGTAATTTAGGTCATGATTTTATTTCGCAGGTAGTTACAGAGGCTCACAATACTATGTTAAATTTTTTAGGGAATTGTTTAATAATACTTAACCTCTAGCTCTTCACATACAATCAGAGCGCAATCACTTAACTACAATCTCTTAAATTATATTCCAAAATAGCTACCACAAATATTTTTACAAATTTTTTGCAAAGCCTTATCTTCAATCAACTCGGTCTAGCTAACTTTAAAAAAAACATTTGTATCTTCCTAGTTTAAGAAAAATATTGAACCATGCATTATATTTTACAAAACCCATTTACTCACAAAACGAAACTTCCAAATTTTTACATGAGTGAAAAGACCGAAGTTTACAACCGCAATTATTCTATGTGGCTAAAATTGTCAAACACAATTACAGAGCTCTCCGAGGATCGTAAACTCAAATCTAGCAGTAAGATTCTTTTGTAAGTCATTTCATTATTTCCTGGAATCTAAACTTGGAATAAGTATCTCATTCCCTGACATTCGTTCTATCAATATTTTTATGTGTTTAATAATTTAAAACAAATAGAAAATTAAAGTCACAGGAAATTATTTATTGGCTTCCTAAAGGTGAGGCTAGATTTCTTTGATTCACGAGTACCATTTAAACATGATACTAAATCTTAAACAAGTATATCAGAGTAAAAAGCCGTATTATTGGTATCCAAGAGTGACGTTTTATATTAGTGCAGACCTGACAAATTTAAGGACACTTTTTGGAATACCAGTTATGTAGTTAGAGTATATACCGCAGCTATTCCCACCCCGACAGCTAGCTGAATCGAATAATGGGCAAGGCAGTAAGGAAAGAATTCCAAGTGAAGTATCATTCGGAGACGCCGGGGTTGAAATCCTTCAAATCATAAATAGACTGAGTAATTATCAACTAAACCGGCAAAGTATTGTAATTGAGATCAAATATTTGGTAACAATTAGCCAATAACTATTCAAGTGTTTGTTTCTCATTTACCAATGACCATTTATTATTAGGAAATGTGAGGATGATACCAACTCGGAAAACGTTTTCCACCGAATCATGCAACAAGTGCAATGATTATCGATCATGCAAACTCAATGGGAATGCAGAAAACCAAAGAAGTTACCTAGACAGCGACGCTGATCGGGTGCGAGTTGATAACCGGGCGGGCAGCGACAGTAATGCCCACCAGACATGTTGCAGCACTCGCGCTCGCAGCCTCCGTTGTTGACTCGGCACCTGTCCTCCACTGCAGCATAAGAGAAAGATTAACACAATTACGCGCTGACGCAAAAAAACTGTGCCCTGTTACTAAGGGGATTTAGATTTAAAAAAAAGCATTGGTCAAATTTATACGGGAGCAAAACTTTTAGGTCCAGCCAAAATGTTCTTTAAACTTACCGTACTGGCAGCGGGGTCCCGTAAAACCCTTTGGACACATACACGTAGTCACCCGTCCGTTTTCATAACAAACTCCACCGTTGAGACATTGGGTTGTCTTCAGCATAATGTTGCAATTGGATTCTGTCAAAAAGAGGAAAACTTACGAGACTGTGAAGAATTTCGCTCATTATTGCTTATATCCTATTGGAAAGGCTACGCAAAAAAAGGTGCTCATGAAAAGGCAGCAGTTAGATCAGTTCTGGTTCCCAAGTACACAAGGACTGCAACCACACGCATTTCTTAATTTTAACACGCAACTTTTGAGTTCCTTTCAAGGAAACCCACACCTGGATTGCAAAATGAAGAATTGGCCCTCGTCTGACCTACTGTTCGAAGCAGCTATTAATGTAAGGACTACCTCCCGACACACTACTGACAACTAGAACAAATCTAAAATTAAATATAATTAGCCATTAACGGAAACAACAAATAACACGCTACCGAACGTTTTGTAACGCAGACGCTTTACCTGTTATGGCCTGTTCTTTTCATAATATCTCTACTTACTGACGTGGATATTGCCGAAATACCGTACAAAACAGAACAACTGTTCATGAGTACCTATGAGTGAACAACCTTCCGCATGAAATGATAGGGTTATCAGAGTAATTTAGACGAGAAATGACCAATTTGTTTTAACTCTTATGCTCATTGAGCACCTAACCTAGATTGCATGAGCCTAAATGAGAGGTCATAGGGGAATGATCGACTACATTCAACACCAGAAATGTCAAATTGTAATTGTTACGTTTTGTCCATGCCCGCCAATCATTTCGTCTCATGTTAGAAAGCGACACGTGGCATGATTAGCTGCAAGGCCTCCCTTACCGTCTTGGTTGGACCAACCGCTTTAATTAACTGATTTTGTGAGCGCCTAATATGAATTCGACGAAGCGGCCATGAAGCACACGGAGCTCAGTCAGTCATCGTGAACGAGCAATTAAAGCGTGCTGAGAGAAAGATAGACAGCCTGTGTTTACTTTAAGGAAGGCGACCAAGTCGATCAACTTGGGCGTAAGCTAGTGGAAGGAGGTAGAGTTCATTTAGCAAAAAGCGGAGGTGCCTGTTCTCTACCCATCTTAAAGTGGGCTTTTTGTATTTTATATTACATTTTATGCTTTATGTTACGTACCTACCTTCTTTTGTAGTACCGCATACTTCAGTGTTGTGCTTAAGCAAATCACTAATCGATACAACTGATTTCCAAAATTCACGATGCTTGTTAACGTGTCGACAGAGTTACAGATTATAAATCTAGGCAACATCTTGTCCAATTAAGCTAAGAAAAAATGTATTTCAATTGAAAAGTAATTCACTGAACCTCATACCACGGATGCATCCTTCAAATCCTGGTACACGGACGTGTCCCTCACAACACTGAATTTTGTCGTGGAACACTGGGTGATCAACGATTCTGTAACTTGTAGCAGTTTCTCGCCTAGGAGGAGTGAAAGTACCTTTGTTATGTCAAGTCACATGCCATCGTCCAATTTAAATGGCGCTCTGGTTCTAAAATTTGTCTTAATCTGGGATTCCATAGTTTAATAACATATCCGAATTTGCAAGTGCCACAGTTACAAATGGTAAACGAAAGTACCCCAGTTGCAGTATGATATTACTTAACAGTGGAAATTTCTAAGTAAAATATTTCTTTCACAATATTCACTGTAAAAAGCTTATATCATACCACAATAAATGGAGAAACAGCAATAAATAACTCTCGAACAGTGAACCTTGAAATCATTATGCAATTGTTTGATAATCGGATCACTTGAATTATCTGAAAAGCCTGGTTTTTCGGTTGCATAACTTCAAACTAAACCAGAATGCTGATTTTGACAAGATTTTGGTGTTTTAGAATTATATTTGCCTTAATCAATGTAAAGGTGGAATGATGCAAAAAACCTTTTGTGGAACATTTGTGCAAGAAATTAAGTGTGATGCGTAAAATCACAATACATACCGTCTACTAGCAAAGTGACTTTGGTGGACATCAATTTATTTCCTATTAATGATTTTGCGTATGAGGATGAGTATTATAGCTCACCGTTGTTCCTCGACTTTGCACCAACTGCCTTTTGCACCACAGTCTTTCTTCCATATCGGGTAGGTTTTGTAGAAGGGCACCTTAAAATGCTCCCATAGACGAACCGTAGTTTTGTACTGAACACGGCATACATTGGGCCTAGACAAAATACACGGATCAAGCATTTAGCACACGACAAAGACATCTAAGAAGTCGGTGTGTCATTGACGTCACCCCTTATCGACACCAAATTCTACATTCAAGAATGCCGAAAATAGGTCTTCTTATTTCGTTCCAGTCCATCTGCTAAGGGCTTCATACAAAAATTATGAAAATTAAGCTGATTTTTCTACTCCGCTTAATACAAATTAGTAAAAACCCTTCACAGAAATTTCCTAATGGTAATAATCTCCATTGTTTGCGTAAGTTTGACATTTGATTGGCACATTTTAGTGCCTCAGTGGCATTTTAAGACGCTGTCAAAGATATCTGAAATTCTAACAAACTGGCATAAAGGTAGTCACCTAACAAAACATCACGAATTTACTTTATAAGCTCATACGAGTAAGAAATGAATAATAGAATTACTAATGTGCACACTATCGAAGCAGATACTTCCTTAAACTATGGTCATTTTAAGTTACGCTAACAAGTAAAATTGCCCCTAACTAGGTTGAAACCTCAACAAAAGAAATAGACAGCACTTATATAAGTCAACCAATGAGGGCAACTTCAGATCAGGAATCAGTGGCCACAACTAAAATGGTCATATCTGCACTGAATATGCTTTATTTTGATTAAAAAAAAGGAAAGTTCAGATGTCCACACTGCAAGATGGCTGGATCTTACGAGTTACGACTTGAAAGGTGAATAGCCGTATAAAAATATGTGTTATTATCAAATCGTACCGTCGCAGCACTACAATCCAATTATTCAGTGATTCTTTACTAAACGTGAATTTCAGTTAGCTGATGACTGACGGCCTAATTTTGTGCTGCTAGGTTAAAAAAGAATAAAATACAAAGTATTATGTAGCAGATTTGGTTGAATTCTTGTGTTGAAGTAAAAATCTGCAAACACGCTAATTTACAGTCATAAGATAAATTCAGCTCTTTTGCAACAGAATGCGTTAAGTGACTTTACCTCAAGGTTGGTTAAAATAATTAGTAAAAACCCTATCGTGAATAATCAATTGAATTGGACTCTCTGTTTAGAACATAACATAATATATAATCCAGTATACTCTCCGAATGTGTTTGCCAGGTCTCATTTACCACATAGGAATCAATCGATTCGAGATGTATGCCCCAAATTTTCCACTGATATCGATATTTTTGTGGAATGTTGGACTTCGGGTTAGAGAGCAATTTTCCAATTCTTCGTTAATTCCCTAAAGCGTGCATCTATTCGAGGGACCATGCAATATAATGCATATAGGTGGTAGATAATTAATTAGGTTTAATTAATTGAATCTTAGCTTTTTGTGATGCACGATAAACAAAAAACGACGCAGTGATGGCGAAGAACAGTACGCATCTGCGACTGACCTTTTAGTAGATGCGCTAATTAGTGTGGATGCACCCATTATCACCTTATAATCGGAATCTTTTTACGGGACAAACTAAAATTGACTGCGTAGTTAGCGGCGAGGTTGAGCCTTCAAACAAAGTGCGCATGGACCAATACGAGTTTAAAATGCACTACTAATGAATATATCGCTGATAAATTGAAGGTGTTTGTAATTGAATACCGAGCCTGCAAAGTTGACTCAAAAAGGACGGGCATCTTTTTACGCCATGTGCAGTTTTATTGAAAATCAGTCGAAATGATGTGGCTGAGTTGGCACATTCACTAGTAAATATAACACATGAAATAAAGGCCTTCCTTGACTGTAAATTAAGCTCAGAGTTTTGAGGCTCTATCTATTTACAATGTATGCAGTGTATTTAAAATATCAACTATTTTATCCATGACCACTTACAACATTTGCTGAAAACTTATAGATGGTTTTACCTTTGAATGCTATAATTTAAATTTCAAGTATGCTAAAAATTTAGGTTTAAAAAAAATCACAAACATTTTATGATGTGAATTTGTTACACATTATCGTAATAAATATATTTTGCTGTCAACAAGTTTAAAGTAATTATTTTATTCACAAGACGAAGTGTCTCATAGCAACGTTAATTTAAGAAATCAGTCACTGAATTATTTCAAATTTAAGTTACTTTGTATTTTAGCCGCAAGCAAATACTAGAGCAAAGGGAATGTTTGAAGTATTGGTTGGTCGAAAGAATAATAGACCCGCCGTTGTATCAAACAAAAACATAAATTAAATTCATCCGTTTAGAGCCATAAATAACTCTTGAGAATTTCGTTTGCTGAGCTTTAATTGACTACTTTGAAGCAAAATTTCACTTGATGATTTAAATGGTCCCTTTAAAGCTGCTTTTATTCGAATTTGGACGTACAAATTAAACACTGAACATGCAGCCAACATCTCAGAAAACTAATTTTCAATCGACAATCTGTCAAAAATACAGTTTGCAACATGTAACTGAACTAAAAATCATAAAATCATAATATAAATATAAATACTATGAGTTTGCGAACACTGAAAAGGTTTAAGCTATAGCTGAACGAAAGTGATTTGTTTTTCTCCATGGCATTTAGGGGGCTGCTCACAACGGTGGTAAAATATAGTGAGTGAATTTTCAGTTGACAAATGTGAATTTGACAAAAGTTAAGATTTGAACCAGGATGTCATTTTCTTAATTCGGCAGCACGAATCGGGGATCGGTGCCTTAATGCAAGCAGGAAGGACCAACACAAAACAGGAAAGCTCTGAGGAGACGCTGCGTCAGAGTCTTCCATATGGTGCCTTCATAAAAACGGTGAACAAAAGACTTCCCTACCACCAGATGATATGTCATCGTCTTGCCGAATGGAAAGCGTAAATTGTAAATGGATTGCGTGAACGCTTTGAATGGTTCCAAGTAGTTAATTTAAAGAAGCAGCGTAACGAACGGTAAGGCTTAATAATGACAGTGGGAGCCATT